TCCTAAATATGTAATTAATTCTTTTATGCAACAGAAGTACCCAAAAGGTCTCCTGCTAAACCTCAGAAAGAAAGCGGAGAACATACTTGCAAGATCAACCCCAGTGACATCCTCTGACTTCCTCATACTGCCTCCATGTAACGTTTCCCAGGCGATCAGCAAATACTTTGGAAAAACAGTGAAAATCGCCAGCACATCCGGGGAAAAGATACACGATATGATACGAGACAAGAAGCAGTTGAAAAGCAACCCCAACAGTGCAGTATATCGCATACCCTGCAGCGGTTGCGATAAGGCCTATTTTGGTGAAACAGGACGAGGCTTCAACACCAGGATCATCGAACATCGAGCCGACGTCCGTCACCACAGGACTTCTAATGCCATGGTAGTTCATGTAGATGAAGCTGGACATCTACCGAACTGGAAGGAAGCCGAAGTAATCCATGAAGGATTGAGTAAACAAAAAAGGAAGGTCATGGAAGCTGCATACATCGCGACAGAAAAGAATATGAATACCGCATCAGGCAAGTTTAAAGTATCCAAGGTCGCAGCTGCAATTATGCGCATAACGAGTGCGAGGTCACAGCCGTCAGGTGATTTACCAGCTCCCACGTAGTATATATATGCTATGTTTTTTTCTCTAGCCTCCAGGCTAGTACAGTGGTAACGCGTCGGCCTCTCATCCGAGGGGTCGGCGGTTCGCGCCCCGCCCAGGCGCGAGAAGTTGCAATTGTCGCCCGGAGGTTACTGCTGTGGCCGGGCACCACGGTGGGTAAGGACTAAGCTCTGTCGCGTCAGCACTTGCTGACACACGGTGATCGAGTCGACATTAGTCGGCACAGGCCGGGCGAGGCTCAGCTTCGCATATGACTTATCCTATATATATCTATTATGTATGTATTTCTGATGAAGACGTAATCGAAACCGGTCAAATACATCTCTTGTATTGTGAAAATATCCAGTCTCATTCATACCTTTTCTATATATATATATATATATATATATATATATATATATATATATATATATATATATATCCCCTTCTCCCCCCCTCCCATTCCCTTTCCCCTTACCCTTATCCTTATCCTTAACCGTACCCTCCCCCCCCTCCCTTCCACTTCACCAATCCATCGACACTAATATCTGTACTATGGAAAGACATACGGACAAATGAAAGTGCATATATAACCTTCTGATTGTACATAAAGCCAATGTGCAAAGAAATCGTTGAGTCTCTCCTCCATATTCGTTTACGTTTTCTGTGGTCGATATAAGCCGAGCAAGAATGGGAACCACATGGAGGTAAACGATATGGAATAATTATAAAAACCGATTATAGAAACATTGCATTTTATTGCAATGTATACTTAATAGAAGAGTGGGTTGTTTTTTAACCTGGCACAGGCTCACAAACGGGTGTCCTATTACAAAGAACACCAGAATGCTCCATATCACGAATCATAAAACCTATTAGTAATTAACATAAACCTGTGGACTATTGAGAGTCGACAGAATATAATTTCTTTCTTTTTAGGGGGACTTCTTGCTAGTTTGTAATTGCAAAAGTTCTCAATGTTGATATTATTATTTTTTTTACCTGTAAGCCCTACTGCGTTCACACAGTACCCTCCGGTGATCTGGTTTCCACCATGAAAGTCTAGTGCACAATTTTGGACACTGTTTACTTTATCATCAATGGTTTCTCCAACAAGTTCGAGGTTGACGCTCCTTGTGAAGGCGACCCAGTGTGCTCTCTTTAGATTAAATTTAGGTGCTGAAGGCGTTCTCGGTGTCGCATGTAATGTAATACAGATAGTAAAGTGGTCAGTCTCAATGAGTCATCAGTGTCACTTGGCTGCTACTATTGAAGAGAGCAGAGATAGGTCAATAAGGCTCAAATTACCGGTATTATCGTCCACTCGCGTCGGACTACCATCGTTCAGAAGGATTGAAGCAGTAACGAGCTAAACGACTTGCTCACCTCTGCCATCCACCCGCCGGGAACCCCATAATGTATGATTAGCATTAAAATCACCTAAGATTGATTTATTCTATGGCAGACTAGAAGAGCTCATCCTAAACTACCATACCATCAGGTGGACAATAACTACGACAGCTGAGATACGCCGGATAGTGACCTTTTTACTTTGCACGCCGAAACATCTCCCAGGAAACATAGTAGAGTCCTTCCATGTAAAAGGCGATTCTGTGCTTGGGGAGGTACTACTTGGCCTACGGCACCTCTACCTCTACCTCACCTCCTCGATTCCACCACTCTCCGACGCAGAACTGAGTTGTTCTTCACCCACGCAAAATACATCATCTAGTCAAGTTCACTTCAAATAAGTCTCCTCATACATTTGGTAGCAACAACTATTTCCACCGGGAGAAAACATACAGGACCATACGGCTTATCTATATTTGAGAAGGTTCATTTAACTACTTAGTCATCTAAGACCTCACGTTAGTATTTTATCACTCACAGTTGCAATTTGAGTGC